ATCTGCGATGGTTTGGACAGGTCACATTGTGCCTCTAGAAAGGAAGGCAAAACAGCTACTGAACAAAACAACGGAACGGTTGATGATCCAGAGCACGGCCAAGAAAACGCTTGAGTAAGTGTTTCGAAGGACGCTGTTTAAGATTCAGATCATGTTCTGCCGAAGTTCATATACTGGCACATGAACGAAAGAGTTGTGGACACTGTCAGACGTGTCTGCTTGCACGACTCGAAAGGATATTGGTCACTGAAACTGACTGACCGACTGACTTCCTTTGGTTGCTAAGGGCTACGTATTGCCTCAAAGAACTCTCTGAATCGTTCAGATATGTCCTCACCTTTGGTAAGAAAGCGTCCGTTAGGACTTGTGCTTCAGGGTTCTTAGACTGCCCTTCTTTCCATCCCGAAGGGACGGAATATTTTACCATAATACTTTGTTTACGGCCTGCAAATTCACCTCCAACACCTCATCAAAATACTCCCCGAGAATCGCCATTCGCTTTGGCTATTGCTTTCGCCGCGGATCTCTACTCTACTTCTTACCGCATCAGAGTTGAAGGGTCCTTTTTCAAAGCCAATTTTTAATGTAGCCTCTTTCATGCTGATATTCAGCTGAACGCGTGGTTTTTGACTCTCAGGCGGAGGACCACTCAGGCTTAACGTGCACCATTTGGCGACAGGCCAGCTTGGGCCCATTTGAAAGATCTTCCATTCATTACACACTTCAACGATCATCACCAGAATCTGTTTAAACCCTCGTGTGATGTTGTTTACAAGTTTTACGGTTGTATCCGCAGAAGATAATGCCTCGCGTTTGATTCTCTGGTCATTTCCGCCGGCGGGTATTCGCGTGCACTTCAGTATTTGACGCGGAGGGTGCCAGCAACAGGATGGCTAGATGGCGATCGGTTAACACCTCTGAACCTTTCTTAACGAAGACACGCAGAGTATCATGAGTCAGAGTACAGATTATTAAATCGTCATTTGACTTTTATGAACATGTCGTCCTACACATGGTATGCTGATGCACTTTTGGATGTTCGAAGACAAACGGTGTTCGCAACAGACGTAAAAGCTCAGCAACTTCATACTATTATCGTTTTTATGAATCATGCATTTCCATTTTTCAGTGTCTAATATGGTATTAGCATTGAAATTGCCTATGAGATTGAGTGATTACTTAGTCAACGTTTTGTACTGAACACCTTCTCATTCCACATAGAAAAACTCATATTCTCGCTCAGAATTTGGCATATACATTTGCATCAGTACACCTATAGCTTGCTGTTTCTTTCGACACTGGATTACCACTATTTAGCTGAGATGCTTAGTTGTGCTCAGGTATCGCATTGTCTTTGCCTGGATATTTATTATTTAGAATGTTTCTGATTTCCAGCTCAATTTCGTCCCATGGACGAACTATTTAGGGAAGAACGACATCTGGAGAAACATGCTGAATCTGGCACTTCACGCCTAGGGAATACAGACTGTTGCAGAATCCTTTCATTCGATTCAAACTATTGATTCCTTTTTCTCCTTCATTTCTCACCGTAGTTGGAATATGTTGTTTTAAGCGAATGTAGCATTAAATGGCTTGTTGGCACCTGTCCACTCCGTAGCCTCGCTTGATCGAGTTCTCTTTAATCTTCGTAGTTGTCCATTCAATACCTTTTGCAAAGATGCGGCGTAAACACTGTGCAATTTCCCAGCAGGCGTAAATTAGGATCTTCTAGCCATTAGTAATCTTGTTGAAGAGCTGATCCTTTGGTACCTCATTCATTTTCCTGTCCGACTTGATGTTCTAACCTCAATATTAGTAGCTTTCAGAAAACGGCCATAATCCTCATCTGTGCCTAAGCCGATGTTCATTAGGCGAAGTTTCTCAACAATAGCCTTCGAATCGAGTCACAGTTCTCCACAAAACGGTGATCTTTTTCCTGTTTTGATCGGCTCCTCTTTTGCAACATCGATTATTACTGTGGAGCGTTAAAGCCTATGCAGATTATGTTATCATTTATGACCGACACGTCTAATATTATTTGTTTCGTACCAGTCAATGCATAAACGATTTGGTTCACAAGGTTTCCGTCTGGGCTTCTCAATTTCTATGTCACTTTGGAGCTTACTGGTAAACAGCCTTTATTACGTGAGGTGGCTGCTTTCAGCTGAAGACGCGGTTCGATCTCCAAGTTCATTTCTTTCGCCTTTTCTTTATTTGCTGACAAATATCTTCCTTTTACTAACCACTGCATTTAACACTTCTTGCCCACTGGTCTTCTATTTTCTTGTCGAATTCTTTGATCTCATCATCTTCAGCTTGTTTGATTTGGTTGTAAACTACTGTTCTTCTATATCCTACTGCAGAAATAGAATTTCTATAGAGCTGATATAATATCAGAGTTCATTGAAAGTAGTACAGGTTTTCTTGTTATTATGAAATCATAATTTGTTGGTCTGAGCTCAAATCTTGAATACCTGGCTGAGAAACACTTGGTCACCATTTTCCTATTGCGCAATAAGTTTGGTTGAGCGGTCCCGCATATTCTAATGACGTATTGATATCCTATTTTTCTGTGATTAGGAAGTTCATAAATGCACATATATATTGCGTTATTGCACTATTGCTGATCACTAGGATCTTAATGGTTTTTCGAGTCCTTTTACCAGTTGCGTCCTGTCTGTAGGTGTTGTTCAAGGTGAAACGGTAGCCTGCTCTATTTTTCCAATTTACGCTGATCTTCAAGGGCTTGTTTGTGAGTAATTTCTTTGCAGTTCATTTGAATGAACAACTGCCAGGTTTCTCCAACCTTCCTGCGACCCAGCGAATTCAAAAAAGTTTAGCACCTTGTCAGGCTAAGGTTACCCAAAGGTATCACTGGCGAGTTGCGGGCAACGTCACTGCCTCAACGTACTGAGGAAGCTGAGAATGAAGCGAATATCGAGACTAATTTTGCAGAGAGCGCCAATATGGCGATATGCTATGATTTTAGAAGAAGCAGCCTTAAATACTGCCGATGGTTGGCAGCAGTCGCCAGCGTCATCGCAAAAGAGCATTTGACTGCGTTATGTCAACAAATTTGTACGATTTTCTATCCGGCCTACAAGGCCCATCAGAGGATGCACCACATTTTAAGGTTTTTCTGGCAGAAATATGGCACTGGCAAGCCGTGACAAAGCCCTTACCTCAATCTAACGGAATTGGCTCACATACCATGGCACTCTAAGACTGGGGAAGATGCCGTTGATTTAAATATGGTTTATTTTCACTTAATTTCATAATCAGCCAACCTCATGGACTGCACCTTAGAAAACTTGCCTGAGGATTTCGCAGAGGTAATGTAAAAATGCTGTTTTAAACTCATGTCTCACTCTCTCGCCGGGACTTCATCCGTGCAAAGCCAAAAGTCTGTGGAAAGAGGATCGAACGATTTCCTCGTCGATGAATGACAGCATAGCAATGGAGCATGATGTCTCTCGCTAAACGAACGGACGAATAATTTTGTTGAGTTCAGTGCGCCGTCTCAACGCGAGCTGCTCGCCTCGCCGCTTGTTTACTTAACCACGAACAGTGCGATCGTTTCGTGATACCGTATGAAGCTCGGTTACGAACTTCTGTAAAATATTACTGTAGCATGAGTAGGAAGCAAAATTTGCAAACGACTGATTCCCGTCGGCCAAAAACCATTTGCATATTATCGGTTGTTAATATGTCTCCGTTTTGACCGGGATCAGAATCACAGACTTACGGCGATTACGATATTAGGCAGTAGGAGCGGTGATGACACAGTACAACGGTTTGTCATCTGTTGTTTACAAATGTTCTTATTGACTCACGGCGGCTTCTTGGACCGCGCCCGCGCCGGCGTATTAGAGGTAGCTGGTGACATTGAGTGACAGCGACGCAACAGAGAGACACCGCCCGTAAACGGTCAGTCATCCAGTGACAAGGACACCTCGAAACAGAACACCGATGGCTATGGCTACTTCATCACATAGCAGACCAACGGTGGAGCTGTCTTCGCCTCGAATGCGTTGCTCTGAAGAGGCCCCCGAAAATCTGCCAGCCATACAGAAAGGTAACGATCGTATGAAACGTTGCTTAGATTTATGAAGCTATTGATTTCTTAAATCATATTTTCAACCAGTAGTTTTACTCTTCAGAAATAACATACATCCATGGTCTATGTATTTTGGCATTAGCCCACCTCCTGATAGCAATGGCAAAAATGTAGAATCACATGCCATAACGAGGTACTTCTGAAAACAGATCAACCTTTGCTGTTATGTTACTTACAAGAAAGATTATGGTATAAAAGGTCATCTACATTACTGTCATGGGTGATAATGACCAAGAAAAATATAAAGGTTTTTTAAATATGACAAAACGGGAGGAAAGCTGGAATGTCGGTCTTGCTTACATTTTCATGACGGTATCACTTTTACAACTCTTTTTTTTCATTGAGATAGAAGTGAAACGCTGATTATCATGTTCATTTCATATTGTTTTTTTATCGTGTTCATCCATATTGTTTTTTTCGACAAAATTGCATTCTCATCGAAGGTACAAAAATATTGAATTTTCTCTTCGCTGTAGGGTTACTTGCTCAGTGCTGTTTGCGATGCACTGTCAATGAGAAACAGCAGTGATGTGGATTGACGCTCCTCCCTAAGAAATAGGAACAGATTTCGAAGGTTGAATTACCCATTAGCGTCATATGCAACTCCAGATTAATGCATTGCCAAGCGTATCAGCATTATGGTATCTTAAATGATCTCTGGTCAGGAAAAATGCATTCATATTACGATTACAACGGCTTGCATGATATTTAAACTTACCCTATGGACAGATACAGATATACCATTGACATTGCCCACCCGTTCATTTTCACATCCCGTAT